CAGGCAGTTCGAGGAGGAGAGTAGTCGAGCTGATGTGGGCGCGTAGTATCTTGCTTCGATGAGAGCGTCATATACGTTCTGCTAGCTCGGTGAGTGCAGAGCCGCTCATTGGGTTCCCATCTGCGCCGCCGGTGAGGGCAGAGAAGAGAGTCTCTCGCCATTGGGAAGGTCCGGAGGCGAGGTAGCAAGATGTGGCTTTTGCGTAGTTGTGAAGGGATTCGTAAGCGAGAGCTGCTTCTTTGTATGACGATTTAGATTCAAGATATTGAGCATAGAGGGCTGTTATGACAGCGAGGGGTTCAGGGTTGTATCGGTAAATAGCTAGAGCGGTTTTGTAGAGTGTGTGCTTTTGAGTATACTTTTGTAGCTCCTCAAATGCGTTGAGTTCGTGGAGATGGTGGAGTGCTTTGCTATGGCGGGATAGATAATCGTCAATGCTATATTTACGACGTAATTCGGTCATTTGTTGTAGATTTTGCATAAAAGGAAGATATTCCCTGGGATCTTTTTGCGACTGCTGGGCCACTAAAAGAGCGAGGTCGAGGTTATAGAGACCGAGAGCGTTCTCGTATAATCTGTTGACATCTGCTAAGAAACAGATATGTTCGACTGCTTTATCGGCCAAAGCTTCATCTTCCTTCATCAATTGCGCAACAACCAATAAACCGTCATCCAATGCAGGTGGATTCTTGCAAACATTAGATGTGATGATATTTTGTAAATTGGTTGCAGTGCGAGTCTTGAGAACCTCGAGAACAGCATCACAGATCTTATTAACCTTGGAAGTTTTGGTGGTTGTGATATCAACAGTAGTATCCTGCGGTGTAGTACCATTGGTGGTAGGCACTATGTTACCATTTTGAGGCACAACTCTTGTTTCTTTGTACATCGTCTGAGTAACATCTTCTTCTCTCAATGACGAAAGGAACAAATCAATGTAAGTGATCTTCTTGACTTGATCGATGAAGAGTGCAACATTTGACAAAAACTGCTCTGTAGCGTGATCGTACAGAATGTTCATATCCACTCGTTGCGTTCTGCAGTGAGTGAAAGCTTTTCTGTAGTTCTTTTCCTCAATGAGTTTCCGAATACCTGCAAGGACCATTGCACGAGGGAATATAGTCTCTAAGTTTCCTCGAGGCATTTGTAGAATAAGACTAAGAGATGTTGGCATTGCGGTGACTAGTCGAGCACCTCTTTCAATGCTTCTACATCTTTCATCAATTTCTGGGTCATCAGGTGGAATTTCAAGATCTTGATAATATTAGCATTGAACTCCATGCAACGAACACCGTAAAACATACCATGAACTTCTGTGATGTGCACAAATTTAAGGAGATGTGTGGTGGTAGTAAATATAAGATGTGCTGGTGTAACGAGAAAAGATGTACAGTTTCGCACCAGTAAGCGCGTATTTGCAAACAAATGGCCATTACTAGACAATCCAAAAGCTATGCGACCATCTCCATAGGCATTTGAACCATCGCCAAAGGGTATGATATCTACCCAAGGTAATAGCTTGGAGAAATTGCAGGAAGATAAGGACGCATCGCCGAAAGATAAACTATGAAGGTCTCCAGAGCTAGTTTGAACGTATGGGTGCATTACGCCATCTTCAACAAAGCTTGACAATATTGATACAGAAGATGTTGGACTGTTCTCAAGAGCTCTCTCTTTCATCTCACCAGGCATATCAGTGAGGTGATATCTCTGAATGACAGGACCAGCTTCAGTTCGCCCCAAAGCGAGTACCTCACTCTTGCCACTAAAAGTAATTTGTTGATATATGGTAGTCTTTATTGATGACTCGAATGTGAATTGGCCTGACAATGTCGGAGTAGGTGCAACGCGTTTAGTGGCATCTAATTCAAAGACAGAAATGCCTTCTTGATGCAGAACAGCAAGCAATGAAGCATCTGCATTGATTGAAACATCGATGGCGTTTGATAGTATCGTAGTTTCGTGATGACCCATGGGAGGGGGGACATTAGCTACTCGGAAAGGTGTTACCATGAGATTCTGCCCATCAATAACAGCGAGCACCCCGAAGTCATGTGGTGGTGCCAAAGTACCGCGAGCTGTCGTGAAGATATACTCCGCAAGGTCAATAGTGTCCTCAGCGACAGATAAGAATCTCAACGGCTTCTCTGGATGCCAAGCTACAGGATTAGTAGAAAGCAATGGAGCGTGGTGATTTCTAATCTCTTGCTTTAGATACCAATGGTAGTTACCCATTGTCCATAGTTGAGTACAGTCCTCCATGGCGACAGCCAGCACCGTAGAATCAGAATTCCAAGCCAATTTGATGTTTTGATTAGGGCGTTGACGCTGTTCTTGTGTAAGTCGGAGGCTGAATTCCCCATGTCTTAAACCATTACGTTCAAAGAATACAACATCAATTCTCTCCTCAAGTCGTTGAATTCCAGCAATCAGATTTCCTGAAGGTCTCCAGCTCAAAGCGCCTTCGAGGCCATCCACAGGCTCACTGACACTGTCAAGTTCACCTTCTCTTGAGTATACCCGAATTATACGACGAGAAGCCGACTCGATTGTAGAAATAGCGAGGTAAGCGCCATCACCTCTCCAGCTGATGGTGACGCTCGAATCATCATTTGAACTAAGAACACCTTCATCGATCTTCTCAGGCATAGTCGGATCTCTTAAGGCTTTGGCTCCTCTACCTTGAAATTGAGTTTCCTTCTTACCCCAACCAACGGATACATGATTGGAAGCTTTGAGGTCCTCTTTGGTCATGGTAGTATCTGTAACACCGTCGAAGCTGCGACTCATCCAAATAACGGTATCTTCCTTAGTTGTAATCGCCAAAAGTTCCTCATCAGGTGACCATCTTGCCGCAGTAATACCTGCATCAACTGAGCCCATAATTTCAATCTGACCTTCTCCAGGTTGAGGATCTTCTCTGACGACAATGATGTCGCCACCAGCAAGGACGAGACATGTCGTCAAGCTGTCTCCAAAATAATGAAGGCTCAAAACTTTGTCACAGGCCAAGTCTGGGTTTGGTGATGGGGCTTCCCATGATGTGATAAGGGAATCCTCACTATATTCACAAATCAGCAAAAAGTTCAAAGACGCCCGACTAGGAAATTATGTACTGTGATTTTGAGTTGGTTTTGACTCTAATAAGCTGGATCACAGCGTCATTTTCTGTAGGACCAACCGTACAAACGACAGCATCGTTTGCCAAATCCCACGCCGCCGCTGTGATCGGTCTATTCTGATACTGCGCAGGAGGCTTCCATTGCTCATATTGAATACCTCTTAAATTCCTCATCTTCCCGGTATCAGTATATCAGATAATGTGAAAGATAAAAATTTATGCAAATAAATCCTAAGTCATCCTTTTTGCTAAGGCATTGATTCGTTCGAAAATCATATCCCAGTCATTTTCACAAGCCAGAAGTATTTTTCTGGTGCATTCCTCCATAAGCGAAAGACGCTAATTATTTAGTGTTGAACTTTCCCTGTAACCCCAGGTTTGACTGGACGATAGTGGTGAGACTTCTCTTCTTATTTATCACATTCCACTTCTCTGCCCACTTACTTCCCTTACTTACTAGGTAGACATTCGATTGCTTTGCTACGGCGAGAGACTTTATAGACTTTACCTTTCCACACTCTCCGTTAGATTCTACATCAATTCAAACAGACCATAATGGATATCGCCTACAATCAACATTCTCCTCACAATCGACGTCAGAGCCGCTCCTTTTCCAATCTCACAAATTTAACCATGGCACCTCTAACCTCTAAACTTCCCCCCTCAAACGACGATTACTTTCCCGACCACACATCCTATATTGACAACCGCTCTCTTCCTACCACACCCTCTATCCTCTCACGCTCATCGTCTCGTGTTTCCATCCGCAAACCCGCCCCAATGAATCTCTCAATCCCTAAATCAAAATCGAGCATCCACCTCACCGCTGCCCCTCGCACACCTCATACACCTGGTCCCCGCTCCGGCACAACCACACCTTCACGCCATTCTCATTTAAGAAATACCATTGCACCAGATGATTTACAAATCAGCACATTGAGCGAGAACGATCGCAATGATTCCGATTGGCTTTTGCGAGCCGGCGCCATGATTGCATCCTCCACTCGCGAATCAAAGGGACAAGCCTGGCTCGTCTCGCGCGCAAGTTCAACGAGTTTGCAGATAGATGCGGATGACGATGCATTTGAGCGTGAGCTTGCCCGAGAAAGAGAACACAGTAGCAGGAGAGGGAGCAGACGAGGAAGTTTCGATGCAGACGACGAGTTTTCACCACTTACAACGAGAAGAAGTCTAAGTTTTGGGCCTGCAGCAGGAGCATACAGTAGATCAGTGAGTAGATATGGCAGTCGCGCAAACAGTAGGATAGGAAGTCGTGCGAATAGTAGAAGAGGGAGCAGGGCTGCGTTGATCACACCAATGACAGCAGATAAAGAGGGAGGATATTTCGATTCAGAATTTGCGCATGAAGAATATCCTGCGGAACCAGACTTTGTAGATGTGGAAGAAGAAAGTTTTGATGAGGGTGATGAGGCAAGGAAAGACGAAGCAATAGTTAAGAAATTGGCTAGAGCAAGTAGATTGGGACTTGGAGGATGGGTCGAAAACTTGTTAGGATGGAGTTTGTTTGCTGTCGAAGAGGATGGAGAAGAAGCAGATTTTGATACATCAGATGAAAAAGGAGAGGAATCATCACTATCATCACGCCCATCACGACAAACTCTTGCTGGAATGGACGATACACCAGTGGCAGAACAAATGCCACCACTCAATCCAAACGAAGCAGATGGATGGCATGACGCTGCTTGGCTTTTGAGCGTCGCAAGTAAAGTATTGCTTGATAGTTAAACCTACAAATCAGTGGAATGTTCGCCTGATAAATATTGTCTTTCTGACATCCATTGTTATATTCTTGCGCCAATTTTGCGCCTCTTCCGTCGTAGTACAGCTTCTATCTATGGACTTTAATAAAAAACAGTGCGGCATGTTCTACATATGAAATCAATACAGTCCAAATATCGATCTGGTCGTGAAGTCACATATGCCACCCCAAAATCATAAAAGCGCTAATTTCATTCTTGCCGCCCAATACTCGATCATTTTCCCGTTTATACCCTGCAGGACCATTCTTAGACGGCCATACAGTTAGACTGTTAAATCAATGATTTCATCTTCCGCGGTGAATATGTGGCGTCTCTTGACAGGACGTTCAAGCACGATTTCAACATCTTCATCCTGTTCGACCGCAAGCTCGCGCTTCAGATTCTCTTCGGGTTTAGCCTGCTCAGCCTTGGCCTGTCCTTCGAGCTCTGTCTGGATCTCACCGCCGACGCGGGAGATCTCCTCCTGAATCTGTAAAAAATTGTTAGTGTCATTGGCAATACCCGAGAGCATGTTCTGTGCTCATTCACTCCGCTATCTCCTCTTCTTGCACTCGTGTAAGTTGTCCGCCGTGTAGACATGGTTGGCACTTGCATCTAAACGCTCGTCTTCGACTGATATAGTCAATAAGCACGCTAAAGGGTAATGGAGAGTAGAAGTAAGCAAAGTGTGTGGGGTCTAAAGCCCATATATCTTACTCGAGTAATTAGACATGTGCACAGACTGTACAGAGTTTCCAATAGTCTGAACTAGCAGAATACATGATATAAGCTTTCAATATTTGAATATGATCAATGTCTCCATTGGTCTGAATGTTTCAATTTGGATTCATGGATTCAAGGCCTCTAATCTTCGGACTATAGTCAGGGCTATTGGATACTTTGCTGACAGGCACTTGCCAGACACTTTCATCGGCACCTTTCATTTGAAGGCAGGAAGATAGAACACTTGAATGTCAGTACAGACCTCGACAGCGTTGACGACGTTGAAACCTTTAGCTATGTCCCTCAAGTCGCCTAAGTTTTTCTGGATTTCCATCAGTACCCGCGTAAATGGCGTAACAGCAGGCTCCAAGGCCGTTTGCACTACACGTGTAGCAGGCGTCGCAGGCGCTAGTGGTGTCACTGAGGCTGCTCCTAATTCGTCGGATGCGGAGGTCTCGATATCAGGTCTACAAATTACTTTTGCTGGCGTTTCTAGCGGCATTGCAGGTCCAGATTTCGAGACCAAACCAGGTGCTAAGGATGGAATTGACCCGAAGGCAGGAGTTTTTGGATATCTGATTTCTTCTTGAACATTGTTTGCTATTGCTGGAGCCGGCTCTGGGATGGAGGTGACCGTGTCCGTTATAACTTTGGGGGCTATCTGTCCAAGTGCTTGGGGTAAAAAAGCACCAGCTACCGGATTAAAAGTTTTGCCGGTGATAACTGAGTTTGTGCTTGCTGGTGAAGCTGTAGCCATACCAGCAGGAGACTTATGCTTTTGAGCCGTCAATGCTTCGAAGACTTTGACGACATCCTTTCGTTTGGCAAAGGGCCTTTTATCGACAGGGCGTGGTATCGGTACACTGGGTAAGGGATTCATCACAAAAGGTGCTAAATTGATCTTTTGAGAAAGTGTTCGAGATTTTGCTTGAGAAAAGATCTTAGCTTTAGGGTCAGCATTGATTCTATAAGGAACATTGATACCATCTAAAATCTTGACGCTATTTGGGACAATCAAGCTATTTCGAACGTTCAAAATATCTGAAATATTGAATCCACTTGGAACAATGAGACTATTTAGAACATTCAGCGATGTCCCCTTAGCTAGCCGCCTCAAAGATTCTGGGCAACGGCAAATGGATTGTTCGAGAACGATGTAGCAGAAATATCCTCACCCTCATTTGCTCCAAAATGTCCCTTGATCTGTATTTAAAATGGAATTCGGCTAGTGGCTTGCTGACTGGGTCTATGTATTCAAGCCTGTAGAACGTCTCCTGATCCGACGAGGTTTGTGGTGCTCCGAATCTATTGTAGAAGTCAGCTTGGAAGTTGAGACTGCAGATCACATCTTTCATATACTGCGTAGCATGAGATACTGCTTTGCCCTTCAACTGACTCTCATGGACATTTATTTTCTTAGTTGAGGATGCCTGTTCAAGCGGAACTGGCACCGTATTACATTTTCGGACACGCCAAACCTGAACCACGAGTTCTCCAAGTTGCGAGGCGACTTTTGGGGGTGCGTACGTGGAATCGTCTCCTGCATGTTATCAGCATCATGGATGATTCATTCTGGATGAAACAAATGGTATACCTGGTTTGACTTCAGCAAAGATGAATGGCATCAATTTCAAACTGCTTTTTGTCCGGATTCGATCTCCGTTTAATTGATGAGCCCATTGACCCGGTTTGAATCCATCTTGATTGCAAATGACTACTGAAGAACAGCCTCGCCCGTCAATGGTTGCATAAAAGCCCAAGGATGTACCTGGATCAATTGCCTTGTCTCTCTTCTTGCTGTTTACCCAATATTCAAAACCAAATCTTTGATTTGTCTTAGATTCAATGTAGACACAAGTCTTGTTTTTTGGAGAATCTTTTGTGATACCATCTTGGCTGTCATCGGGATCGTCGTATTCAACTGTTTTTGAACCAGAGACTACAACACGCACTCTGACATATGGTACATTAGGTAAGACTGCCATCACGGCAGGTACTGTTGGTGAATGGGAGGATGATAGAATTAATTGTCGCTGTTTTGTAGTTGAGACTATGAGGTGTGAAATAAACAAAGTACTCCTTTACGCGACAACGCAACTACCATTTTCGGCCCAATGAACGCAATGAAAGGGAAAGTGTATTACGCTTCTTTTCTTTTCATTTCTTATCCTCCAGTTAATCTCGCGCTTCACTCAAATCACATCACTCTTCTTTTATATGTTCATTAAATTTCAGTTCTAAGGATCACAATGGTCTTTGCCTACTCCCATCATCATTTTCACTCATCAATTCAAAGTCTTCTTATCACAATGCGAAAGGGAAGCAGATCCTTGTATAATGTATTTTATTTATCCCCCATGTTTCTCATAAATATGTTGATGATTGTGAATAATTTCATATATCCACCACCCCCCACTGCTTGTAAGAGACCGTTGATACACCAAAAAAGATATCTGCTAGATGATGTAAGTACCTCAGGTCTCCCACTTCTTAAAAACAATGACGACTTCATCCCTCAACGTTCATATCTCAAATCTCAACTTCTTAGTAATAATGCCCGCTTCACTAACAACGTCCTTCAGCTATCCGCAAGTGATTTGATGAACGCAATATCATAACTTGCTCTCAAACTATACTGGATACATTCTTGACGTCTACATCTTGAAAATGTATAAAGATTCTTGATCCTCAACATTTCTCTCTTCAACCATCTGCGTCTCTCCAAGAATTCGTGCCACTCTGACTTCAAGATTGCCATCTCGGAATCATAGTCTACCCTCTTGCCCATATTCAAACATGGAGTGCGGTGTCTGAACCACTCGATTTTCTCCTTTGCCAGGGTAGAGCAATATTCTTCCTTATATCTCCTGAAGTGGACCTTGAGCTGGGGAGTATCAACCATGGTACTCATGAGGGACTTGATTATTCTCTTACGGCGCACGTTCGATGTACTTCGTATCTGTAGGTAGTGAGGTGATTTTTCATCGGCTTCGATACTGGTAGCTTGTGAGGTATCGGTCTGCGAACCACTGATGACGGACCAGCAAGTACTTTGAGCAAAGCTAGATTGGGTGTCTTCAGCATCGGAAGTCAAGGTATTTTCGCTGCTAATCTGGAAAGTGTTGGTTGGAGGTACGTTGATGGGTGTCCAACCACTGGACTGAGGGGCATCAGTCTGTTTCTGCGAAGTTCGAACGGCATGCCAATCTACACCCTTAAGAATTTCTACTTGATCATCAATATCCACTCGAGCAACCTCAACTCCTGCGATGCCAGATTTTGTAGTATTGAAGGGTTGCCAAGCGATAATTGGGGAGGGAGCTGCTTGAGTAGGAGAGTGGATCGAGCTATTGATTTCGCATTTCAATTCTTCTTCTTCGACATCGACTTCTTCTACATCTGCGTCGTACACGCTTTCTTGATCAGAGGTAAAATTGGCTTGCTCATGATCGAAGTGGAAATCGGGAAAGCCATCGTGAATCGATCTGCAAGGCAATGCAAATGTGAAAGCCATGAGGAATAAAGACTGCGTTTTGTCGTCAATTTTCTCTGTGCTACAAAACAGAATCAAAGGCTATTATAATGAGAACTTACTAGGTGATTGTTGATACTATTGTCTTTGGAGGCACATATTTCTGTTTGAAGACCTTGAGGAATTAGAAAAGTCAAATCTTGGCTTCAGCTTTCATGCCTCATATTGCCTACCTTTTACATCTAGTATCCTTTCAGTTGTTCATTCACATGATAGAGTGAATTCGCTTTTCAATTTTTCCTTTAATTTCAAATCACGAGGGGCGTAGAATATGGTGAATATCTCTATTTTGTCATCATTTGATTAGTTCTTCTGCAGATTGCACCATCACAACCTCAACATATAGAATCTTGTCCTTCTACCAAAACTCTTGGAACCTCCTTCAAGCATATATCTTTGCTTTTGTTATCAATGCACCTCCATTGCTTGATTTGCATAGAGAATACGATCTAAATATCAATCCTACTCTGTTCTATCACTCCCTTTTTTGAAATTCCCAAAGTTGGTGGGTCAAAGTACCAATATTTCGAGCTGAGAGGTCTCCATCCCATCTAAGTGGCACATAAATGGCTTTCATTCACATTTACATCCAGAAACATCTTACCTATTGCTTTTTGTACCCCTTAATGCTTAGTTCTAGCTTTTTTCTTCACCTTACACCTTCATCCCGCTACAGCCCTTAGGATAGCAGTGAAGTAAAAACTCCTTCTCAAATGAGAGGTAAGCTCGTCTCGGTATGTGTTTATTTTGAATAGCAGTATGGTTTAGTTATTCAGACAAATCTTCAATGCAAAATGCGTAATATATTGCGGTATCAAAAGAGTTGCACTAGCATATTTCTATTCATTGGCTAGCTAACTAAACGTTCTAAAATCACAATCCAACAACATATCTCATTTCATTCTATCACAAAGCTCTACTCTATTTCAAGCAGGTCAATATCACCTTCGCTCACTCCTTATACTTATCTCACCATCTCGCCGCCAATTTAGGAGACCACAAGAGTGACGTGTACTAGTTGGGTCAAAATATTGATTTGATGAAAGAACCAATACTCAACCTCCAATATATTTCTCTCAACATAGCATATATCACCTTGCAGTGTCGTACAAAGAATAACTCCTTCTGCTTCATGTCGACCCCAGCACGCGTCTCACAAATCCCTGTTCCACTCAATTCAAAATACTCCTCAAAGCGCAAATTTCTCATTATCTTCATTGACTTCCCTTGATATTGCAGAATTAAATCATGCTGCGTGATTCCAATTGGGCGGGATGCCCGCGTAGAATAGTAGCGGAGAGTCTATACTGGTAGCTAGAAATACCTCCCCGGTGGCAACAATACCACCCATATATTATAGTGATGGAGATTATGATGTCTGTGTGGTTTGGCGCACGAGAAAGGGCAAGTATCAAAGGGAGAAGCAATCGAGATAGTGTGAGAAAGTTGGAATTGTAGGTCATATATATAGAGTTTTTCTAGCTAGCTAATCATATAGCCCCTAATAATTAGATATAAAAAGAGATCTTCATCCCTCTCTTATAATAATCAATTTTTCACATATACACTTTTAAACTTGTATTATATATATTCCAAATTTATTATGAAATCTATTTTCTTTACAAATAATATATTACAATATAATCTACTAGCTTTCTTCTTTATTTCCCTTTCATAGTATATTATTAGGATGTATATATCTCGACGTACCTCTTTCACAATAGGAGGAGAAGAAGACGAAGAAGCAGATGAAGAATAATTGAATAGTTGTGCACAGACATCGTTTTGTTAAGCGACTCGAGTGTACAGTACATAAACTGGTGTACAAGCGAAGATCTGCTAATATTAGTACAGTGAGTAGAAGTAAACCTCGTATATGGATCTAATTTCCTTAAAGTAGGTAGGGCTAATGGATCTAACTGGTTTTTCAAGTTAAGAATTTGACTCACCAGGAGTAATTCGAGGTATTTGGAGGTAAGATTGTTTCATGCTTCTGGTTACTTGAATTAGTACTTCAGAGACTAGAAAAGTTAGGTGGGTGTTTTATATGCATGGCGATCTAATAGGGCGATATTTAGTTTGAGTCGAATCTGCTGGTAATTTCAGGAAGGAACACAGGCTTCAGACAAGTACAAGTAGGACATGGGTAGTGGTAATTAGGAGCTGAGGTGTGCCAGTGACTAGATCAGAAATTTGAGCTACTGCATCTGAGAATTGGAGAAACAGGATGAGAGATAAGAAGGGGTAGTTAATCGGTGATATATTGATAGATACTAGGAGGATTTGAGATTAGTATTTGTGATTTTAAACTGTGTTGTGTTGTGCTGTAGAGGAAATATTTATAAGATATGTATCATTTTAAAACCCTATAACGTGGTTTATCAGCGAGTCGCCACTATCAGCGAGTCGCCACTTTTTCAATATCTTTTATCATTCAATTTCAAGACGCGATATTTCAACGAATTATTATGGAAATACAATCAAAAGAGGCCAGAATAATCTTAGCTATTGAAGCTATTCAAAAATCAAAAAATCTTACAGTTGGAAAGGCTGCGAAAATCTACAAAGTCCCTCGAACTACATTACGAGATAGAATAGGCGGTCGAATTCACAGAATGGAAACTCGAGCAAATAATCTTAATTTGACTGAAAAAGAAGAAGAGGTGCTTATTCAGTATATTATCGATATGGATGAGAGAGAGTTTGCACCTAAATTAAGTAATATAGAAGATATGGCGAATTATATTCTTGAATCAAGAAATGCGAAGAAGATTGGAAAGCTCTAGGCTTATCGATTTGTAAAGTATTATATGAAATTAAAGATATGTTTTAATTGTATTTATAACTTTCAAAGAGCTCTTTGCGAAGATCCTAAGTTTATTGAAGAGTGGTTTCGATTAATATCGAATATGCAGGTGAAATATAATATTATCGATTCTGATTTCTACAACTTCGATGAAACCAGCTTTATGATGGGTATAATATGCCTTGGAATAATTGTAATTAATGTTGAACGAAATAGCAGAAGCAAGGCAATACAACCAAACAATCGAGAGTGGGCTACGGCAATTATATATGACAATAGAGAAGGTAAAACTATACCTCTATTTTTGATAGTTCAAGAACAAGTTCATCTTTCCAATTAGTATACTGAAACCGATTTTCTTACGGATTGGGCTATTAAACCTACTTTCAATGAATGGATGAATAATGAGATAGACCTAGAATGATTAAAGTATTTCGATAAACATACTATTCGTCAAAGGAAGAGCAAATATCGAATGCTAGTATTGGATAAGTATGAAAGCTACGAATCAATATCTTTTCAATCATATTGCAAATCAAATAATATTATATATCTCAAATTACTATTATATTCAATTCATTTAACTCAACCATTTGATGTTGGATGTTTTGGTGTACTTAAACATTTATATAGTTCTCAAATTAAGGAGTTTATTAAGGCATATATCAATCATATCACTAAAGTTGAATTCTTTATAGCTTTCAAAGCTGCATATCAACAATCAATCAACTCTCAGAATATGAAAGCTAGCTTTCGAGGAACAGATCTAATACCATTTGACCCTCAAGCTATACTCTCAAAATTAGATATTCGAATTCATACACCTACTCCCCCCTTTTTCGATTTAAACCTTTGAATCTCTCAAATTCCTCACAATCCAACTAAAGCTCTTTCTCAATCAACTTTAGTGAAATCTCGAATAGCTTGTTATCAATCAAGCTCCCTTACACCTATATTCGAAACTATACTAGCTTTAATTAAAGGTACAAAGAGATTAGTATATGAAAATACACTTTTAAATACAGAAAACTATATATTTCAAAAGGCAAATAAAATATTAAGCAAATGTCGATATGTGAAAAAGACTCAATTACATCAAGGAGGAGTACTTACTGGACAAGAAGCTGCAGATATATTATCTCAACAAGAGGTTGATATTCAGATTCAATGCGACGAGTGTCAAAATGAGGGAAATTCTAATAGGGAATCATCTACTAGTCGATGCTGTAATAAGTGTGGAAAGACTGGTCATAATTCAAGAACTTGTCAAAATAGTATAATAGATCCTAGATTATTAGATTCTTAATAGTTTTAATTGATTGATTTAATGATTGTTGAATGATATGAGTTAGAAAGTACAAATTGAGGTAAAAGTGGTGCACTCGGTGATATGGTGCACTCGGTGTTAAACCACGTTAATAAATTTTATAATTACTAATTGAAAATAAAAAAATAAAAAATAAATCTTTTTTAAATATAAATATAAATATAGTTTTTATTTTTCATTCAATTTTATTTATTAAATATTTTATAATAAAGAATAATTATTTCTATTTCTATTTATATTTATTTATGTGACGGAAATCCCTGCTTTCCTCCCACCTGTGACGGAAAAGTCGTAAACGGAGTCAATTCAATCACTTAGAATCTAAAACTAAAGAACTAAGAAGATTCTAATTAAGAAGGTCTTTATATACAGGGCTAGTGCACGTGAGCCACTAGTGGGTAACAACCGTCACGTAACACCACCCTTATTATATAAGAAACCTCAGGTACATTAACCATGTCCACACATGATACGATTACTCGGGATTAGTATGCGATTTAGGTGACCTGAGGATCAGATCCGGACAAGTACTAGGTATCAATGGTTATCGGTAAAGTAAGATCATTGAAGGGATAAATATGATTTCTTTTTGCCTAGCCATTACGGCTAGGCCATTCATTTGTGTATATATAGAGTAGCTATTCCCATCTACAGGTGCTCTTCACTTGTAGATTCTAAATTAAATACAATTGCTGGTCTATAAACACCCTTTTGATCACAATTTAATTGAAAATTTGTATTCTTTGTATTTTTTATTTTTTCTAAATTCTTTTTTTTTTTAAATTCTTTGTGACGCCTTGTGACGCCTCACACCTCCGGGTCACGTGGCATGCCCCGTTTGTATTTAATTACAGGAAAACTCGTTATTTTTGTTTTCCTTCTTTTTTTCTTTTTAACTTAGTATTTTCTAATACAAGATACTTTACCCAGTATTCTTGAGTGTGACACGCCTCACACCTCCGGGTCACGTGGCATGCCCCGTTTGTATTTAATCACAGGAAAACTCTCTACTTTTGTTTTCTTTTTTCTTTTCTTTTTAATTTAGTATTTTCTAATACAAGATACTTTACTCAGTATTTTTGAGTGTGACATTCTTTTTTTTAAATTCTTTTTATTTTTTTTAATTTTTTCTTTTAAAATTTAAATAAATAAACAATTATTATTTTACCCACTCACTTGTTACGTCCAAAACGATTAGTATGTCACATGACCATAAAACATGTGATGGAACGGTGAGGAACGAACGTTCCTAGGAACAACCAGGAACGCTCGTTCCCAGGAACGACGATTCCTAGTTAACCATAGGCACGAAGGACTATATAATCAAGATGGATTTCTTTTGTATAGAGCTTCGTGCTCAAGATCAATCATTTAGTATACTCTACTATTAGTTACGAATTGCATATCATTATTGTCATTACTTCAAGTCCCTGCTTGACGCCTAGTTATAAACCTACTTCGAGAGCCTAGAGCACTTCCACGTGATCTAGACGGCAAACCTCGTAACATCACTGGAGGATTATTAATTAATTAATAAGTATTTTGATATTAATAATTTAACTATTAATATATATTGTAAAAAATATACAAAAAGAATTTAATATCTAATTAAACATTTTCTATATATATTTTTTATTATTTGATATAATTATTTTTACGAGGTTTGCCGTGTGGATGAGCGTGTAGCGCTCTAGGCTCTTGTTTGACGGCTATCTTCTATGTCGCGTCACATGACTAAACCGAGGTAACGTGAGTAACGTCGCGTTATGGACCGCTGAGGAACGCTGGCTGTCCAGGACCGCGCAGCGGTCCATAACGTGACTTAATCACGTTACCTTGGTTTAGTCATGTGACGCGGCGTAAAAGATAGCCGTCGTAACACTTACCTACCTCCTTATAATCACCATCACCATCAAAATAATCAGATGTTCAATCCAGACTTAATTTTTTAAATTTTCAATTCCTATTGATTTTCCACCCACCCATCCATCCATCCATCCATCTATTCCTCATTCCCAACAACACAATTCCGTTTGTAAGTAACCAAGTAACCAACTAGTTAATCCACTTTCCCTCAACTTGAATTTAAATATGGATAGTAAAACATATCTATCCATCCCAGCCCTACTTCAATATTTCTCCATGCATCCGGTACGGTATATACTTTCTCCTTCAGTTCTCTGTCCATCCATCAATCCATTCTCAACTAATCCTCCATTTCCTTTCCTTTCCTTCCATCTACCGTCCATCCACCCTCCACATCCCTTTTCACTCCCAAAAATCGTGTGAAACATGACAATTAGGTAGTACTGGATATAATAATAATTCACTCCTTACGAAAGATAAAGACACAACCAGCCAACCAGCCAAAAGCATGAAATTGAGGCAACCAAAGTTCTAGCAAGCAAGCAAAGATTTTCCCAACATACTAAAATCACTGCTTGCTCCCGTTACAACCAAAACTACCAAAAATTCAAATATGATATGGGTGTCAGAAGACCGACCTTGCAAACATGAAAAGTGACACTCCCACGCTGTATATGACTGAAATCAGAAAAGGAGAACAATTTTTTCATGAAAGGGGACAATAATTTGGGGAAAAGAAGTAGTGAGATTGAAAAACGGTCATATCAAGATCAAGATCCAAAAGAAGCACGTCGCATTTAGGGGGAAAAATGTTCGTCTCATTTGAAAACATCGCCATATCTCGTTCCTTGCGCCATCGACACCAAAAGCAAAGTTATCGTTTAAAAGCGTACTTGACAAATTCGAGAGGACATTCTTTCCGTGATATGATGTGAAATGATGTATGATATAAGGTGTCGAAGGTGAGATTGGAAAGGTTATTTTCCAAGAAAATAGTTCATAAATACGCCGTATGCCACTCTTTTTGGTACTCCATTCGCCGGTCCAGCTAGGAATTTGATTGAGCAAACGCTATTGAGGAAAGACGGTAGAGAATCTTGATAAGAACGTGGGAGGAAGGGTGAGGTTCATAAATTGTGGTAAAAAAAAAAGGCATCTAGCCAAAGGGAATGTCGTAAACGTCGTTGATAATCCATGCGAAAAAAGGCTTTGAGCTCAAATGTCTTGATGCGTCAGGAGATGAATTTTTCATAAGGATAACACAAGGTCCCTTCTTCTTGGGACGATATTTCCTAGATTCATTCTCGAACCATTCCATTCTCCGAGGCATTGGGCACGGGGACTTCTTGCCAGTACCTGAAGCTG